TTAGCCAGGTGTGGTGGCACATGCCTATAGTCCCAGCTACTGAGGAGGCTAAGGAAGGAGAATTGCTTGAACCCAGGAGGCAGAGGTTGCAGTGAGCCAAGATCGCCCACGGCACTCCAGCCTGGGCAACAGAGCAAGAATCCATCTAAAAAGAAAAAAGCACTCTGTCTCTACCAAAAAATATATATATAAATTAGCTCGGTGTGGTGGCACACACCTGTAGTCCCAGCTACTTGTGGGGCTGAAGTGGGAGGATCACCTGAGCCCAGGGAGTTAGAGGCTGCAGTTATCTGTGACCGTACCACTGCAGCACTCCAGCCTGAGCAACAGAGTGAGATTCTGTCTAAAAAAATAAAAAATAAAAAATAAATTTAAAAAAAAATGGAGTGAAATACTTAAAGTGTTGAGAGGAAAAAAAAGAAGAAAGAAAACACCACTCTGAATTCTGTACCCTGTGAAATTATACTTCGAAAGTGAAGAATAAAGATTTCCACAAACACTGGGGAAACTTGTTGCCAGTAGACTTGCCTTGCAAGAAATGTTAAAATAGATTTTTCAAAGAAAAGGAAAATGTTAGAGGTCAGAAACTTGGATCTATTAAAATATATAAAGAAAGGAAGAGCACTGAAGAAGGAATAATTGAATATAAACAAAAACTTACTTTTCTGATTTTTAATTGATCTAATTTTAAATTATTTAAATATAATTCTTACATTTAATTGATCTTAATTTTAACTGATCCAGATAACAGTTCAAAATAATATGACAATATATTTGATTATGTATGCTTATGTGTATATATTTATATACTTATGTATACTTACTATAAGTGAAATGAATGACAGCAATGATATAAGGAATGAGAGAGAGGAATTTGGATTATAACATTCCACAGAATGTATCAGAGAGAGTTAAAAAATAAGAATTTTTAAAATCTAACATTTAACAGTTATGTTAAACACAGCGAGAAGGTATAACTTACATTTGACTGGCATCCCAGAAGGGAAAGAAACACAAAACATAGTAAAGAAAACGTTAAAAAAGATAATGGCTGACAATTGTGTAGAATTAATAGAAGATAATAATCCACAGAATCAAGAGGACCAACAAATCCTAAGCAAGAGAAATAAAATCTACATCTAAACATATAATTAAACTGCAGAAACCCACAGATAAAGAGAAAAATCTTAAGAGCAGCCAGAGGAGGAAGACAAAACACTTTCAAAAGAGCAGCAATAAGACTAAAATCTAACTCCTCCAGAGCAACAATAGAATTCAACAATCAATCAAATATAATATGCAGAGAGAAAATACTACTCATCTAGAATTCTATAGCCACTAAAATATCTCTCAAGAAAGATAATGAAATAAAGATATTTTCAAACAACCAAAAATTGAGAGATGATGTCACCAACAGCCCCTCAACAGATGAAATTCTAAAAGGCAGGCCTCGGGAAAGCAGAAGTAAAGTAATTCTAGGGCCAAATGTAGTGGTTCACGCCTATAATCCCAGCACTTTGGGAGGCAGAGGTGGGTGGATCACTTGAGGTCAGGAGTTCGAGACCAGCCTGGCCAACATGACGAAACCCCATTTCTACTAAAAATACAAAAATTAACCAAGTGTCATGGTGCATGCCTGTAATCCCAGTTACTCAGGAAGCTGATGCAAGAGAATCTCTTGAATCCAGGAGGCAGCGGCTGCAAAGGGCCAGGAAGGCGCCCCTGCAGGTCAGCCTGGGTGAGAGAATAAGGCCCTGTCTCAAAAAAAAAAAGAAAAGAAAAGTAATTCTAGGTAGAAGTCCTGAGATTCAAGAAGAAATAAAAAAGAGAATAGTAAATATATGGGTAAACATAAATAAAATTTAGTAGAATTTAACTACATAAAGTAGAAAAATACATAATAATATCATCTAGTGGGATTAAAAACAGGCATTAAAATGACAACAATATAAATATATTAGTTGGGAGCATAGCAAATCAAATTCTAGTGTTTTGAGGTTTTTAAATTATCAATGTTAACAGCAAAGGTTTTGTTTTACTTTATACTCAGAACAATTTAAGACCACACATTATGCACTATACTTCTAGGTAGGATCCAGTATATTGGAAAAGACCAATGCGCCTGCCAAAGCAACAAGAGAAACTATAAACTGGGCTGATATATCTACAAATGCTTATTGCTTGGAAATACTTGCTGATTCTATTACTCAGAACAAGAGGTTGAAAACCTGGATTTTGCCCAAGCAAAGGGCTGTTGTTAGGCAAGAAGAGAGGCCTAGTTCAATAGATTATGGTACATCCATACTAAAGGATACACCATGCAGCCTTTAAAAAAAGTAAAGCAGTTTGTATGAACTCACTCCAGAAGATCTTCAAGATGTTTAAGCTAGGTTTTAGAGGTCTGTTACTGAGGGACCTCAACTCAATCAATTTTTCCGCCAACATATGTGCCAAATTTTGAAACTACACCATAGAGGCTAAAAGCTAAGCAGAAAGTCTTGAAAAAGCAAAACAGGCTTTCTGGTAGTCTTGTGGTGCCAAGATAAAAATCAGCGTTCAGGACTTGTGGAGGTGCGATGACCACACCATACTCTCAGTTCCCTAGAGACTGCAAACCAAAAGCAGACTGAACCTTAGTCTAAATGCCTACCAGAGAAAAATAGCAGCATTTGGAACTTCTATCATCTTTTGTATAGAATGTGTAATATTCAATCAAAAATTACTAGGTGTATCAAGAGACCCTGGAAATCAAGGCAATTTGACCTTTCTTTTATAATACAATTTATAATTTATAACACAATGTACCTTAAGGTCCTCATTTGAATACTGATGAAAATAGTTCTGCAGATGTGCAAATTTTCCATTATTAGAATGGCAAATAACAGAGAATTTACCATATTTCTAAATTCCTTGCAAAAGCAACTTTTGTCTTTCTTCAATATTACAACTACATAATTCTCAATATTTCTCATACAGAATACTCATTTAATCTTACCTATTACATATGTATTTGTTCATCAGCACTTTTACTGTATTTCTTTAAACATTTGCATCTTACTGAGAATCTGCAGTTTGAAAATTGACTTCTAATACCAACAACTAAAGCACTTTCTTTCCAGCTTTTCCTAAAACCTGTAAACTTCTTTCTCATTGCACATTCTGTTTCTTTTACTTATTAAAAACATAGTAACTATAGCTTCAAAAAGGCAAAATATGTGAAAATACTTTGAAAATTATAAGTCTCCACGTATATACAATGACATTATTCCCATTAATTAATATAAGAAAAGCCTGGAATTTTTTTTTTGAGACAGAGTCTCACTCTGTCACCCAGCCTGGAGTGCAGTGGCGCAATCTCGGCTCACTGCAAGCTCCGTCTCCCGGGGTTTACGCCATTCTCCTGCCTCAGCCTCCCAAGTAGCTGGGACTACAGGCACCCGCCACCTCGCCCGGCTGGTTTTTCATATTTTTTAGTAGAGACGGGGTTTCACCGTGTTAGCCAGGATGATTTCGATCTCCTGACCTCATGATCCGCCTGTCTCGGCCTCCCAAAGTGCTGGGATTACAGGCTTGAGCCACCGCGCCTGGCCTGGAATTTTTTTAATACATTCAACTAAGGGTCATGAATTTGCTGTTTTTTAACAGGATAGAATCAAAAGTAGAATTACTTAAAGGAATAATGGAGAGGTCATATAAAATGAACTATACAGAGAATCATGGAATTCTGAGGGCCTATTTAGAGTCTAGTTTCTCTACCTATAACAAGATGATTCTTTTTTTTTTTTTTTAAGTTGTAGGGTACATGTGCATAACGTGCAGGTTTGTTACATATGTATACTTGTGCCATGTTGGTGTGCTGTACCCATCAACTCGTCATTTACATCAGGTATAACTCCCAATGCAGTCCCTCCCCCCTCCCCCCTCCCCATGATAGGCCCCGGTGTGTGATGTTCCCCTTCCTGAGTCCAAGTGATCTCATTGTTCAGTTCCCACCTATGAGTGAGAATATGCGGTGTTTGGTTTTCTGTTCTTGTGATAGTTTGCTAAGAATGATGGTTTCCAGCTGCATCCATGTCCCTACAAAGGACACAAACTCATCCTTTTTTATGGCTGCATAGTATTCCATGGTGTATATGTGCCACATTTTCTTAATCCAATCTGTCACTGATGGACATTTGGGTTGATTCCAAGTCTTTGCTATTGTGAATAGTGCCGCAATAAACATACGTGTGCATGTGTCTTTATAGCAGCATAATTTATAATCCTTTGGGTATATACCCAGTAATGGGATGGCTGGGTCATATGGTACATCTACTTCTAGATCCTTGAGGAATCGCCATACTGTTTTCCATAATGGTTTAACTAGTTTACAATCCCACCAACAGTGTAAAAGTGTTCCTATTTCTCCACATCCTCTCCAGCACCTGTTGTTTCCTGACTTTTTAATGATCGCCATTCTAACTGGTGTGAGATGGTATCTCATTGTGGTTTTGATTTGCATTTCTCTGATGGCCAGTGATGATGAACATGACAAGATGATTCTTAAGGTTGCTTTAGTTCTATGACTCTGTACCTAGCTAACCACATAGCTACTGCATTATTGCAGCAAAAATTTAATTTAGTTAAATCAATGATAAGTATAAAAAAGTGAGTACTCTCTCAGTTACAAGTGAAATGCCATATTTACACAATCAGACTTAGAATATACAGAGAAGATAAAAGTTCTGTACAACACAGAAATGTCTTTTTCCTTCTCGTGAAAACTGAGTTCATATCAGAAAAAGTAACCTAATTAGATAAATTTAAACATTTTTATTAATGACCCTGGAAAATTCTGACAGTATGGCAATGACTTACATAAGCACAATAGTGAGGAGCAAGTAACCTTTGTGCTTCATGCAAATAAGGGATCTTTGTACATTTGACTATCCAGATACATAAAGGTAGCTTCTGTTTGGATAAAAGAAACACAGTGGTAATGATTAAACATGTATGCTTACCTTGTAAAAATTCCTCCTTGCAAGCAATGAAGTAGAAGAAAACAATGCTGACTTTCTTGGCCTGCTTTCTTTAAATCAGCCTTGAACCAAGAATAACTGAAACACTGAACCACAAGTGTTCCAAAAAGCATAAAGCTTAATGCTAAAACACTAAAAACATACTGTCCTTCATGGAAAAATCTGACAGATACCCATATGTCCACAATTAAATCAGTTATGTAGATTATAATGCCAAGAACTGACATCATAAAATTCTGTTTAGTATATTTCATTATGAATGACTATAGCTTTTCGTTATCTACTTTTTTCTCCCTCACAAAAAGGGAAAAAAAGCCAAACAAATATTAGTATATCCTTTGGTATAGCATTGAATTTTAATTTCTACTCCCTAAATCTATTTAGAAGAAAGAATAAATATTATGAAACGGGAACACTAACACCAAAGTGACTAATTTTGACTTTCTTTTCTAAATCTCTAATCTAGGTCCAATGTTACAAGGCTTTAATCAATCTTCTGTTTCACAATGATCTTCATTACAGATGACAAGACCTAAAATAAAACAGATATTTAAGTTCTAAAATATCCTAAGTATAATATTAAAAACCCTTAGCAATGATTTCATCAAAGCTCTACTTTTTCTAAAAATAATATATTGCCACTAAATACAGTTCTTGTAACAACTTTGGGAAAGTCTCAGAAATATACTTGATAGTTGATAACTTCCTCTCAGACTATTTATCTTTTAAAAATATGACCTACCCACAAAGATATTTATCACATGACTATTTATAGTGGCAAATTGGAAACAACCTAAATATTTCAACATAAGGAAATGGTAAAGTAAATAAAGGTAGATTCATAAAATGGAATATTACAAAACTACTAAAATATATGTAACAAAGGTGCAATAGTTGTAAAAATTCTTAATATGCTTTTGGCCCAGCAATTCCATCTAGATTCTATCCTAGGGAAATATTCAAAAATGTGCAAAAAGATAATCTTTGCAAAGCCTTTTTTATAAGAGCGAAATACTGAAAACTACCTAAATGACAATTGAGAGGCCTAGTTCAACAGATTATGGTACATCCATACTAAAGGATACACCATGCAGCCTTTAAAAAGAGTAAAGCAGCTTTGTATGAACTCACTTTGGAAGATCTTCAAGACGTTTTAAGTGAAAAAAGCAAATCCCAGAAAGATAAATACCGTACACTATTTATGGTTTTTAATTATATATGGAGAGAGGAAGAGGGTTGAGAGAAGGAACAAATGCAACTTCAGTTGTTTTCTCTCTATATTGCTATATTTTTTGAGTTTTTTTAACAACAGACCTGTACTGATGTTGCTAGGTATATAATTTTTTTAAATAAAAACAATAGTAAATGATACTTACGCAGAATCTCAATGACTGGAGAAAATGTTTATGCTACTAATAAAAGTTAACATTTACTTACCACTATGTGCCAAGCACTGAGCAAAATGTTGTATATAAAACTCCCCAATTTAATTCTTCTATCACTTAAAATGTAGATTCTACTATTATTACTATTTTATAAACAGTCTGAATGAATGCAATCTGTATACAAGATTTGTCTGACTCATTGGTGGTTTTTTGGTTTGTTTTCCTAATTAATTGCCAACATTTCACAAAAAAATGCAAATGTTTAACTGCTATCAAAAAACAGAAAGATCCTCTATACTAGATTACTCCTTCATGAGCAGGGGCTGCCCCTTTAGATGGGCATGCTCTCTCCTGTTCATCACAGTAGTCATCTGGCCCATTTCAGGCATTTCAACAGCTGGGTTTCAACGTTAATGCAGCTACCTACTAGCTGTGTGTCCTTAAATGTGTTCTTTTCAGCCTTATACCTTATTTTCTTCATCTAAAATGTGGAGAGAATAATGGTATATATCTTATGGGGTTGTTGTGAAGGTCAAGATAAACAAACCCTTAGAAAAGTACTTGGCACACAGTTAGGGCTCAATAAATGCTAAGTTATCATTATGACCTTGCTGACCACTTGCCTGGCCTCTGTAAGCATATGAGTTTGCAATCTCTGACTTTACATCATATAATGTTATGTGAAAAAGTACTATGGGTACGATCTCAAAGGTAAGGAGGGAGAAATGAGCTCTGGGGCCCTGATGCAACAGGACTGGTGTTCTTACAAGAGGAAGCAACACCAGAGAAAAGGCCACGTGAGGACACAAGAAGGCAGCCATCTGTAACCCAAGGAGAGAGAACCTCACCAGAAACCAACCCTGCTGGCACATTGATCTTGGACTTCCAGTGTCCAGAACTGTCAAAAAATAAATTTCTATTGTTTAAGCTAACAAGTCTGTGGTATTCTGCTATGGCAGCCAGACCAATTAACACACTATATTTCTATAAAAAATATTTATTACTTTAAACACACCAAGGTGAATGTTTACTAAAAAATACACACACAAACTAATACTTACTGTGTTCTCATCATTTTATCACTTATAAGTATTTAGTTTAAAAGTCTTCGGAATAATATTAAAAGGTATTTCATTCTTCTCACAGAATAAAGCAACAGTTATGATCAGTGCTTCAACTGTCAAGAACATTGTGACCAACAGGACAGAAAAAAACAGTTTAAAAACTGAGTTTTTAAAATCTAGTGGTCCATGAATTTCCCTGCAGTAGGTTTCTTATGTTAACATGAAAGACCTCAAGCCAACACACACATGGGGTTTAGGAGGATGAGATTAATTGGGAGGTTCTGCTCAATTGAACTAATTAAATATTTACTTAGAACCTACCTTGTGCTGTTTTAGGCTCTTCTGGATATATCAAGTGATGAGAGACAAGTATTCCTGCCCCTGTGGAACTTATATCCTAGCACAGAAAGATAATCGAGGAGTATCTCAATTACAATGATTTGATTTTTATAAATTATATTAATGTATTAAATTATCACATGCACCTCAAAAATATGTACATTATGTATCATTTTTAAACATAAAATTTGAAATATAGTCAATTAACAATAAAAATAATGAATAAATAAATCAAATATTAGAAGGTGGTAAGTGCTACGAAAAAAAAAAGCATAGTAAGGAAGATCAGCAATTACAGTAGAGATGGGTATATCATGGGCTGTGACATTAATTAGATTGGCCAGGGCAGGACTCACTGAGAAGGTGGCATTTGAGTAGTGAAATTGGCCATGTGAATATGAGATGGAAAAGTTTTCCAGCTTGAAGGAACAGCTAGTTCACAAGTCTAACGCACTAGATTTTGAATCCTCCAAAAACAAATTTCATAAAATATTGTCAGAAATTCCTTAGCATGGTTCTATTGGATATGTTTAATGTGTATACAAATCCTGTTCTAATATCATTCTTCAAAACATAATTTCTTAAGCTTTACTAAGAAAAAAATTGCATATATAAAAGAACAGATGGTAGTAATAATAGCTACTACTGCTAGGTGTTTACTAAAAGTGAAGTTTTTTGGCATAAATTATTTCATTTAATCCTCACAAATCCCTTTGAAAACAGTATTATTGACTCTATTTTGCAGATCAGAAAACTGAGGCATAGAGGTGTTTGGTATTTAGGTGAGTTATCTCTAATGAGTAAAATCTGTTTGTCTCCAATGCTTAGGTCCTACCCACAATATACTTACACAGTATCTGAAGAGAAAACAGAAAACATTTACAGTTGTGTGAGTATAACACTTAGGCATAGCAGTCTATAGATTTGAGATAGACTACACATTATTATTATTATTATTATTGTGTATTATTCTTTTCTGTAGTGAAATTAAAGGGAGAGAGGAATATAGTTAGAATTGCAAATGATGTGATCTAAGCCTTTCTAAACAAAAATCTTGGCCAGATGCCTGTAAGCTCACTTTGGGACGCTGAGCCAGGAGGACCACTTGAGTCCAGGAGTTCAAGACCAGCCTGGGCAATATGGTGAAACCCCGCCTCTACAAAAAAAAAAAAAATTCAAAAATTAGCCAGGCATGGTAGTGTGTTCCTGTAGTGTCAGCTACTTGGGAGGCTGAGGTGGGAGGATCATTTTAGCCCAGAAAGTGGGGGTTGCAGTGAACTGACACAGCATCACTGCACTCTGGGCAACAAAGTGAGACCCTGTCACAAAACAAAACAAAAAAAAATATTTTTTGTTAATTTTCTTTTTCTCTAACTTATTTTCCACTGCCTCTTCTCAGCAAAACTTTATAGTCTGAGAACATGTTCAAAAGAATAAAAGTTGACTAAAACACAATAGTTAAGCTAAAATTTTGCTTGAAATGATTTTAAATGTAGATAATTTCCTTAAAATTACAGACTATAATACTTCAGTATTCCATATGTGCATTTCTTAATCTCTCAACCCATAAAGAGAGCTTCCTTTACCTGGCATGAGTAACAAAAATGTAGTAGCAGGTTTGGGTTGTTTGTTGGTTGGTTTGTTTGCTTGTTTCAAGACAGGGTCTCTCTATATTACCCAGGCTGGTCTTGAACTCCTGTGCTCAAATGATACACCCACCTTAGCCTCCTGAGTAGCTGGGACTATCAGCACAGGAACCATACCTGGCCAACACCAGCAGTTTTGAGTCAACTTTTACAAGATGGAAAGAATAATTTCCAAGAAACAGAAACTGTTACTGGCAGAACATTAGATGCAATAGATTAATCTAATATGGTAATATCCATATTCCTAATATAGTCAGGCAGAACATAACACCAAGTAGAAGGAAACCTACACAGCAAGCTAATACATATAGCAGATCTGATAAAGAGAGCCTGCAGGTCTTTCAATAACCACATAGTTGTATAACTTGTATTAAGAATAGTTCATCTCTATTTCTATAGTTGATCACTATTCCGGTACCACTTTAGGTAAAATAATGCCACCTACAAAGTTTGGCTTCATAGGGGACTTCTTACACTTACTGACTTAATAGGACAATGATATAGTTTGAATATATGTCCCTACCAAATCTCATGTTGAATTGTAATCCCCCATGTTGGAGGTGGGGCCTGGTGGGAGGTTTTGGGTCATGGGGTGGATCTCTCATGGTTTGGTGCTGTCCTCATGATAGTGAGTGAGATTTGGTTGTTGTAAAGCGTTGCGTCTCCCCCACTACTTTCTTGCTCCTGCTCTCACCATGTGAGACACCTGCTCCCCCTTCACCTTCTGCCATGATTGTAAGCTTCCTGAGGCCTCCCCAAAAGCAGATTCTGGCATTTTGCTTCCTGTACAGCCTGAAGAACCATGAGCCAATTAAACTTCTTTTCTTATAAATTACCCAGTCTCAGGTATTTCTTTACAGCAGTGCAAGAATGGCCTAACACAGAAAATTGGCACCAGTAGTAAAGTTTTGGTATAAAGATACCTGAAAACATGGAAACAGTGTTGGAACGGAGTAATAGGCAGAGACTGAAAGAGATCGTAAGACTCAGAGGAAGACAGGAAAATGAGGGAAAGTTTGGACCTTCTTAGAGACTGGTTAAAACTTGTGAGCCAAATGTCAATAATGATATGGACAGTCAAGTCCAGGCTGCTGATGTCTCAGATGGAAGTGAAGAACTTATTCAGAAGTGAAGCAAAGATCACCCACGTTATGCCTCAGCAAAAAGCTTGGTTGGATTGTATTTGTGCCCTAGAGATCTATGGAAGTTTGAACTTCAGAGTGATGATTTAGGGTATCTGGCAGAAGAAATTTCTAAGTAGCAAAGCATTCAAGATGTGGACTGGCTGCTTCTAACAACCTATGCCCAGATGTGGGAGCAAGGAAATGACTTAAAATTTGAATTTATATTTAAACAGGAAGCAGAGCATAAAAGTTTGAAAAATGTGCAGCCTGGTTAGGTAAAAAAGAAAGAAAAAGCTTCTTCAGAAGAGGACTACAAGCAGGCTGTAGAGCAACCACTTGCTAAAGATACTTGCGTAACTAAAAAGGAGCCAAGTGCTAATATCAAAGACAATGGGTTCAAGTGATTCTCCTGCCTCAGCCTCCCCAACTAGCTGGGACTATAGGCGCACGCCACCACACCTGGCTAATTTTTGTATTTTTATTAGAGATGGGGTTTCGCCATATTGGGCAGGCTGATTTCGAACTCCTGACCTCAAGTGACCCAACCACCTTGGCCTCCCAAAGTGCTGTGATTACAGCCATGGGCCACTGCACCTGGCCCTCTTTTCTTATAAATTATCTAGTCTCAAGCATTTCTTTACAGCAATGCAAGAATGGTTTAACACAGACAATTTCAATCCAATTCCAAATATCGACCTAGCTATGTGGCTACCTGGTTGCCAGTCAAAATACACAACTTTTGCCCACTGTACAACTATCTGAGATAAGGCAGCTATTTAAAGAAATTAAAACTAGGAAACTTTCCCTTGTCAACCAAATTTAACACATATAAAACACAGACTTACTTGTCAAATATAAAAAGCCATCTTTGATTCCAAGTCCCTTCTGGAAAAATCTTCATCTTGTGAATATTTTACTACTTCTTCACTAAAAACAAGTATAATTAAAGGATGTGTAAACTTTTAAGATCGAATACTAAAATGAAACTGAAATCACCTGTTAGTCACATGTGGCATTTTCTAATCTAGTGATAAGAGTCTGTGTCGTTATGAATTCAGTACACCCTTTTATAACTATCTCATTGAGGGGAAGAAATAGCATAGGTCCTTTCATGGGCTGACTAGGTTCCAAGCTTTCACTGTATTTGTCAAATAAGTCTAGAAAATACAATTTGCCTCACAACAAATCCAAATGGATAACATGTCATGTTCGAAAAGGAGGTTCTTAAATTTGAAGTACTCTAACAAAGTATCATTAACTTAGCCCTACCTACTTTTCAACCTTACACATTCTCAAATCGTATGCCCCCAAGAGCATATGATTGTTGGTCTGTATTCCCAAAATAAGCGCTGCTTTTCTTCTATTTCCAAGCCTTTGCTCAAGGTTATTTTCTGCTGTCTAGAATAACTGCCATCTATCTGACGAAATTCTGTCAATCCTTTAAGAATCAGCTCAAAACCCACTGTCTTCATGCTTTCCCAGATCATCCCAATAAATATGTTTCTCCCCTTTCTCCTTGCAATCTCATCACTTCAATTGTACATCTCTTCTAGTATTTACCCATATATGCTTTTTTTTAAGAGACAAGGTCTTGTTCCATCACTCAGGCTGGAGTACAGTGGCACAATCACAGCTCACTATAACCTTGAACTCCTGGGCCCAAGTACTCCTCCAGACTCAGCCTCCCAATAGTGCTAGGATTACAGGCATGAGCCACCATACCTGAACCCACATATACTTTAAAAGTATCTCCTTCATGGTTATGACCCTCTAGAAAGCAAAGACTATCTTATTCATTTTTAACATGCCCTCAATATGTCTACAACATTACTTTGCATGTTGTAAGTAGATAATAAACTATTGTAAATGTGACTGAACAGAACGTAAAAAATCTTTGATCTGATTTCTTGGAGAGGAACTTAAAAGTTCAAGTCACATTTCTAAACATATTCACAAAGACTTAACTTTGTATCTTTTTTTTTTTTTTTTTTTTTTGGAGACATAGTCTCTGTCGCCCAGGCTAGAATGCAATGCCACGATCTCAGCTCACTGCAACCTCCGTCTCCTGGGTTCAAGTGATTCTACTGCCTCAGTCTCCCAAGCAGCTGGGATTGCAGGTACCTGCCACCATGCCCAGCTAATTTTTGTATTTTTAGCAGAGACAGGGTTTTGCCATGTTGGTCAGGCTGGTCTCGAACTCCTGACCTCAAGTGATTCTCCTGCCTCAGCCTCTGAAAGTGCTGGGATTACAGGCGTGAGCCACTGCACCCGACCAAAAAATGTATCTACCTGTCTATAGGTTTCTTCACCTGGATATACCACAATCACCTCAATTTTATCTCATCTAAAACATAGTTACTATCTACCCTCTATTTGTACTCTTCTTCTAGTATCTCCTTGTATGACCCTATGCAAGTTGCCTTACTGTTAAATCATTTGGCCTATTTCTTCATCTGCCAAATGAGGAGCTTGGCAATTGATTAAATGGAATCCAAAAGGAAAGTGCAGGTGAAAGTTTAATTCTTAAAAAAAGCTAAAGAAACTGGACCCTGTCTCTCAACTTATGCAAAAGCCAACTCAAGAAGGATTAAACATAAGACCTTAAACTATAAAACTACTAGAAGAAAATATAGGTAAAATACATAAGGACATTGGTTCAGGCAAAGATTTTGTGGCTAAGACCTCGAAAGCACATACAACTAAAATAAAAACAGACAAAATTGACTCTATTAAATGAAAAAGCTTCTGCACAGCAAAGGAAACAATGAACAGGGTGCAGAGACATCTGCTGAACAGAAGAAAGTATCTGCAAACTATTCATCTGACAAGGGACTAATACCTAGAACATACAAGAAACTCAAACAACTCAACAAGAGAAAACACAAATAATCCCATCAAAAAGAGGGCAAAGAACATGAATAGACAATTCTCAGAAGAAGACATACAAATGGCCAACAAATATATGAAAAAAATGCTCAACATCACTAATCATCAGGGAAATGCAAATCAAAACCATAATGAGATATCACCTTACCCCAGTTAGAATAGCTGTTATTAAAAAGACAATAACAAATGCTAGAGAGGATGTAGAGAAAAAGGAACTCTCATACACAGTTGGTGGGAATGTAAATTAGTACAACCGCTATGGAAAACAGTACAGAGATTTATAAAATACACACATACACACACACACACACACACAAATAGAACTACCATATGATCTAGCAATCCCACTACTATTTGTATATCAGAGGGAGAACTGCACCTGCATGTTTATCGCAGCATTATTCACAATAGGAAAGATATGAAATCAACCTAAAAGTCCATCAAGAAACAAATGGATAAAGAAAATGTGATGTATACTCAATAAAATACTATTTAGCCCTAAAAAAATAATGAAATCATGTCATTTGCAGCAACATGGATGGAACTAGAGGTTACTGTGCTAAGTGAAATAATCCAAGCATAGAAAGACAAATATCACATATTCTTATTTATATGTGGGAGCTAAAAAGTTTGTTTCAGCCAGGCATAGTGGCTCAGGCCTGTAATCCTAGTGCTTTGGGAGACCAAAGCAGGAGGATCACCTGAATCGCTTGAGTTCAAGAGTTCAAGGTTACAGTGAGCTATGATAGTGCCACTGCACTACAGCCTGGGTGAAAGCCAGACCCTGTAAGTAAATAAGTAAGTTAAGTAAGGAAATTAATTAACCTAAAGGATAAAAGAATGGGTGTGCCCCGATTCTCAGGAGAACTTTTCAGCAGAGTTCTTAAAAAGGGAAGATGTGCATAGCTTCCTGCCTGAATAGCCATTAATTGATGGCTATAGTAAATACATATTGACAGATTGAAATGCCTGATGTAGGAGAATGAACTCGATGAACTCACTACAGGATCTGTGTATTTTCTTTTAGGTAATTTATAACTCAACTTTTTTAATGGGAAGCGGTAGTTAACACTGGATAGTTAATACTTGCCTGATTAGAAACCGACTTGTTACAGAGAAAATGAGTCCCTGCCATCTGGGACATAAAACAGCTCCACAAGACCAGCCTAGCTCTCTGGGCAGGCGGGTAACACTGGGAGGCAGAGGCACGCTCCTTCAATCTCACAGAGCTGGGCAAGTGTTAGTGCGAGGCAGGTAGGAGCAAGGCTGCACACGCAGACTCTGTCAGCTGGGCAGCCGCCCAATCCCCGTTTTTCATTTGTAACAAAAATAGTGTCCACCTCTTAATAATGTTTTGAGGATTAAGGGAGTTAAGTGGCATGTTTGTAGAAAGCACTTAGGCACAGTAGGAAGTACTAAGTAAATATGTCTTACCAGTATTTATTATAAAAGATGAACAGGCTGGCCAGGCGTGGTGGCTCACGCCTGTAATCCCAGCACTTTGGGAGGCCAAGGCGGGTGGATCACCTGAGGTCAGGAGATCGAGACCATCCTGGCTAACACAGTGAAACCCCATCTCTACTAAAAATACAAAAATCTACCCGGCATGGTGGCAGGTGCCTGTAGTCCCAGCTACTCAGGAGGCTGAGGCAGGAGAATGGCGTGAACCCGGGAGGCGGAGCTTGCAGTGAGCCGAAATCGCGCCACCGCACTCCAGCCTGGGCGGCAGAGCGAGACTCCGTCTCAAAAAAAAAAAAAAAAAAAGATGAACAGGCTACCACTACTACACACATACACACACACAGCCACTGCCTAAAAGTCTGACTGGCAATCCTTCCTGGGATTTATTACTGAATAACGAACAGTTACCAAACCTGTCTGCCCCATCACAAGACTCTTCCAGATTAAAATGTCTCTCGCCCACTGGGATCCACTCGCCTGTCTAGGACACAAACCCGTGAAGCACCAGCCCCCGTGACAGAGCCAGATTCCCGCTTCGCCTCACGCCACCTCACGCCTCGCGCCAGCCTTCCCACCACTGCCGGCGCAGCCCGCGCGGCGTCACGTGACCTCTGGTTCTGCCCCCGGCCGCGCTGCCGGATCCCCGCCCCAGCGCGCCCTTGGTGTCACATGATACCTGCCCCCCCTCTCCCCCGCTAGCCAATCCCCTCCCTCCCGGCTTGCGCGGCGTCACATGGACGCTACTCGCTGTCCGCGGCCTGTTGGTTTGTTCCGCGGTGGAGTATCCAGATAGGCAACACTGCGGCGCCGGCTGAGGCGGGAATGGCTGCTATACTGCAGCGCGTCGAGCGGCTGTCCAATCGAGTCGTGCGTGTGTTGGGCTGTAACCCGGGTCCCATGACCCTCCAGGGCACTAACACCTACCTAGTGGGGACCGGCCCCAGGTAAACGTTCTTCTCCAACTTCCCCCAACGTACGCGGCCGGCCGCGGAGCCCGGGCTGTGACTGATCGCGGGTGTGCGGGCAGTGGAGAGCACCGCGTCCTGTCCCTAGCAGGGCAGCCCCGCGCCTAGCGGCCCGCCGGGACTGCACGCAAGGCACTCGGATCTCGAAGCTAGCTAAAATACGACCACCCCGGGTGATAGCTCTCTAATTTAGCGAGAAATGGAAAAAAAAAAGAAAGAAAGAAAGAAACTTCCTGTTTTGAAACCCGATTTACTCTGCTTGATGTTTGAATGCCAGAGTGTGCGTGTTTAAACTTGAGGAAATTCGGGTGTCAAGAGTCCAAGAAAGGGTTTACTTTGCTCACTTGACTTTAACTGGTGTTTTGCCCAGAGTGGAACTTCCCTTCTCAAAAGCGATTATGTTGAGGCGATTTCCTCAACTCAGCAGCAGAGGGCAGGATTCTCTTGGCTTCCAAATTGGTTGTCTGTAGCCTGTGGGATCCTAAGAGGAGCTGACGTAACTAATTTGGAGAAGTTTTTTGTTTCAGTTGTTTGAGTTTAATTTGCAGACACAGTAACACACCTGTATTTCTAAGAAGATACTTTTGCTCTTGTTTAACTGCGTTCTGTTTTAGTGAAATTATACAGGAATGGGAGATTTGGTTTACTGCATAGTAAGTCTTAGGCATTTAGCAACTTTTGTAGTCTTTACTGGATGAACCAAGAAAATGTAGTGTCTCTTGAGCGTAGAGTTTAATTGTGCAGTCAAGACATAAATAATTTTTAAAATATAATTGATTACTAAAAACGATTTAGTAAGTACAGTTAATTGAGTTTTCCTTGGAAGTGTCTACTGTTTGGCGTTTTTCCAGTAAATAAGAATTTTAGAAGCAGCAGACCTACAAGGTGGGCAGGTAAAAGATTAAGCTCAGAGTAAACAAGGCAGGGTCAGGTAGTTACCAAAGGTTTAGGCTACCACCAGAACCTAGGAGGGTAGAGAATTAAGCAGGAAAAATGCCAGATCTCTAGGTTACAGTCTGTCTTGGCTGGAAGTCCCTCAACCAAGTAAATCCATAGGCGGTCTCTCTTCAGTGTGTCATCTTAAACTAGTCAATACCTCAGACAAAAGATGCATATTATCAGAATTACCCTGGAAAGTCTCTTAGAAGAACACCATGTTGGAGATCAGTGTATTGTCTCAGTAAGTTCAGCACAACCTGCCTTTTTTCCAGTGTTGAAACAGATGGCTGATTCTGTTTGAAAACCAGATGAAGAAATTGGCTTGTGTTTAGGGGCTATGTTGTACAAAAAATACACACTGTATCTTTAAACACTAGAATCACACTTAACATAGCAAAGTGCTAGTGCTAAAAGAGACTTAAAGACTAACTGAGGGAAAAGCAGATTTATAGTCTCCTGTCTTAAATTACTTAACACTGTTGCTCACGTAAATTAATGGAGTGGAATGGCCAGTGGAATTACTTGCACTATGTAAATTATTTCTCCAAATAGTTGAACTAGAGAGTCTGTATAGTTGAGCTAGAAATAAGTGTAGATGATGCTACTGTATACAGTAAAACATGTACAGTAAAAGGTGGCTAGAAATTAATATTAATTGACCTCTTGTCAGATGTTCTGAGATTGGTGTCCACCCACTCCGCTTCACAAAACAGTTCTAAGATCACAAGCGGCTTTTGTATCACTAACCTCAATGGTATTTTTTCTGTTCTCATCTTCCTTGAACTTCAATGCTTTGACACCATTGACCACTCCCTCCTTAATTTGCCAACACCACATTCTTCAGGTTTCCTTTTACCTCTCGAGCTGCTCTTTCTCTTTCACCTTGATAGAGTCACCTTCTTTACCAAATCTTTAATGATTTTAGTTATTCAAGGTGTAATCCTCATCTCTCATATCCTTCTACTGTTTTCTCTAGGTGACCTCATCTACTTCTTTGGCTTTACCTTTATTATCTGTTTATTATTAACTACCAAATATATAGCTCCAGTTCAAATTCCAAACTTGATCTTCAGACTAAGTAGCCAACTTTTAAATCTATTTGCATGACTCACTGCTGTCTGGAACTCAGTGTTTTCCATACTGAACTCATAAACTTTCCCAGAAAACTGCCAGGTCCTCCTCCAGTTGTTCATATCTTGGTAAACAAAACCATCAAAGGAAATACCTAAATACCCTCCCAGACATTTATTTGCTTCCTACTGCATATCCAAGCCATTATGAAGATCTATTCATGTCCCCTGCTACCACTCAGTCCAAGCCAGCACAACTCTTGCTTAGGCTACTGTAATAGCCTCCTAACTGGCTTCTGTACGACTACTTCTGTCTCTCTCCAATCCAATCTTCCATGTAGCCTGAGTGGTATGTTAGGAATGAAAATTGGAAGGCCTTGTGTATTCTGACCTCCATCAGTCTTATCGGGCTCCTGTCAAACCTCTCCCATTCCAGCCATGCTGGCCTTATAGTGTTTCAGATGAGGTTTATGATACCCTGTCTCAGGGCCTTCATGCATGCTTTCCTCTTTCTTCCACTCTTCCCTCCCTTCTTTATCCAGCTAATCTCATTCATCCTTTAGAGCACAGCTGAAATACCATTCCCTCATGGAAGTCTTCCCTGACCCATCAGACTGTATTAGAAGCACTCCATACTTTTCATGGTCCTTATCTCAATGATAATGAAATGATTTTTTTGTGCAAGAAGCTTAGTGTTTTTCCACACCTTCATACCCCACTATAACATCAGTTCAGTGAAAGCGTATTCATGGCTATATCCCCAGCACCTAGCACAGAGCCTTATACATGATACAGGTGGAACACTAAATAGTTGCTGAATGAATGAGCATTCTGTACATTTTCTCTTAATTTTCACTATAATGACTCCAAGACTGCTGGATAACTATAGTTTTAGCTAGTCTTCCTTTCTCATCTGATCAGCCCATGGATGCCAAATGAATTTCACTAAAACACTGCTAGACCTAACTGTGATGCTTAGTACATAGGCACTCCATAAGCATTTGAATCAACTAATGACAGCCAAATTGTCCAGTATTTTCACTTTCCTCCTCTGCTCAAGAACCTCTAAAAGCTGCAATTTTAACCTTTCCTATCAAAATTGTACATACTTTGTGGGCAGATAGTGTGGCTGATAATAGAAAAAGGCAGTCAAGTGGAATAGAATTAAAACTCTGGACTCTGGTTACCTAGATTAAAATCCTGGTGCCATTTACTAGCCATATGACTTTGGACAAGACAGCTCTAAGCTTCAGATGCCTGATACAACCCAGTGAAGGTTGTATAGTACCTACCTCATTAGATGTTATGAGGATTCAGTGAAATTTAAGTGAAAAAACATGTATGAAAAGTACTTAAGTTGTAGCACATGGAAAACATACCATGTTAGCTATTATTTTTATCACTTCTGCTTTCCTCATAACATCTAGACAACACTGGACTCATAGTAAGTGTTCAGAAAATATCTAATGATTTTGTAAGAGTGACAGCAAATAGAGACCAGTTAATAGCTATCTTAATATTGACATAAAATACATATAACAAGGAATTTGATTCTACTAATTTACCATCAATTGAACATTTTTTTCTTCATTCATGTAGCAAATAGTTATTGTGTGCCTACTGTGTGCCAGACACTTTGCTCTAGTGAATAAATCGTTCATAGACCTATACAGATTCATCTATTTTCTTGAGCCCTTAATTAGCATAATTTGCATTTGCAAAATGACCTCCTAAGATACAAGATATTATTGTCTTGACCAAAAAGAACAAAGTCAGGTAGCCCATGTAGAGATGATACTATCCAATCATCTATTATAACTATTCACAGACATCATGGTTAGAGTAACTGTTTGCTAAGGGAGAAACTAATAACATTTTTTTCAATTTCAAAACTGTTAACAGTTTTTTCAAATGTATAGCTGAAGTTTTATTTTTGCCACATAAAGAATGATTCTAAGCATTTAACCTAAGCAATCCCCTTCTGCTAGAGAGGCCGTGTTTTCAATGGAGAAGTCACTGACCTTGCATCTGAACATCTAGTGCTTCCCGGCACTGCCTCTTGCTAGTTATATGACCTGGAGCAAATCACTTAGCCTTTCTGAAGACTAGTTTTCTTAAAATAAATAATTAATAAAGTAATAATTCCTCCCTAGAGTTGATATGAGGATCAAAAGAAATAGTAAATATGAAAGCTCCAAATGGTTTAAATTGCTCTGTCAATGTAATATGTCATCAGTGTGACTTTTTTTTTTCCCTCAAAGCTTGTTGCAAACTCACGTTTTAGGTTTGATAGCATCTAGACACCCCTCCTTTGTTCTGAATAGATTGTATTAATTCCAGAACTTTTTTCTGTTTTCTTTCTTTTGAGAGCCCTTCTTTTGTCAATTCCAATTTTGTTAGACCAAGACAGGACCATTAAGAGACCTAAAACTGGAGGCCCAGAAACATGTTCTTTAGTACCACAGTCATATGGTCACTCAAACTTTCAACTGCAAACAACCAGCACAGGCATTCTAAAAGATCTGTTTTCTTTGCTACTAGATTTTATCAAATTCGTGTATCAACCCTGTTAATTTTGTCATGATCAGTGTGATGTGATCTGGTCTTTAAATT